ACTCATTTTGCGTGCCCAAATGGCGTAGTTCCTATCGTTGAGCTTTTCCGCCATATTTAATGGCTGATTGGAAGAGCTCTCGATAGGTTCGGCCTTGGGTGTCAAATTCTGAAAATTTTGAAGAATTTCCAGAATTTGTGCAAGATTGATCGGCTGATTTTTCGGGTAAGATTCCTCTGTGTTTATGGAACTGCCCGTTTGAGGAGTTTTATCGGACATTTTTTTTATGGTATATGATGAATGCTGCGTTTCATTCAATTGTTTGTTCGAATGATGGCTCCGATACCATATTAGAAATATTAGAATGAATTCACAGCATAATATTCATCTTATTCAATTCATCATCAAATGATGAGTATAAATATTACAAAGTGAATAATCTAGACAATCAAGGAAGGTAAGTGGAAGATAATAAAATATCTTTGATTGGTAATTTGATTCCAATCAAGGATATTATCTTAGTCATCAATATTATTCCTTTGTTTGACACTATTCCTTTGTTTAACATTTCTAACAAATGGAAGGTGTCCAATTGGGCGGGTTGGAGCCCCTACCACGGAGGTGCCGAGACAGGTCACGGACTCTCGTACGTACACTTTAACCCTAGAGACCATCAGTTGTACGCCGACACTTGCATGACCTTAAGTTCCACGTCCTTAAACCTATAAGTGAACACAATATTCATAACTATTCAATTCCGTTCTGAGTCACCTAGATATACAAAGTGGCTTATTTCTCAATTTCAATTCCGCTCCTCAAAACAAATTCACAATACCAATTTCCAAACAAATGAAACCATGTGGCCAAACCATAAATAAAAGAAAACTAAATTCCAATCTCGAAAAGGAATTTAGTTCCCTCCCCTTTACTTCTAACTATGGAGTAGTACTTTGACCCGTGCTACGCACGGGGCCGAACAAATTTTGTTTCCGAAACTAAATTTTTGTCAATGTAATATTTTTATGGAATAAATAAGATATATTTGTAGCACTATTTTTATACTATGGACACAAAACCCAAAGTAGAATAAATAATATTTTAGAAATTGAAAGTGTAATCAACAAAGTTTTTTTAATTTCAAATTTTTTGGAAGACGTCAAGGTATACAATATTTTGTTATGTTTGCAAGAATTTCTATTATCTTTTATAAACAATATTTCTAATCTTATCTTTGTCTTCACTTGTGAAACAACAATATAAAGCTCATCATGACTTTGGAAGGTGAGATCATTTTTATATGATATTTTTTTCAATCCCCATTTTAATAAAATTTACGTATTAGCCTTGTTCCAAAATATTCGCCCTATTTATCCTTTTGTAGTTAAATTGAACAAATTTGATCATCGGTTAAAAATATATATTATATATTAGAGACAAATTATTTGTTAAAAAACTTTCATCCTTCATCAAAGTGTATTTAATTATAATGTAAATTTGGTTTTGTCTTAAAATTACTGTATCAAACTCTCAATTTTTTACAACATTTAATTACATATACATATTTTATTTGTCGTAAAAAAATGCATAGTTTCCCCCAAATAATTAAACCGTGACAATATATTTGAATTGGAGGGCATGCTATTTCATACTCCGTATTAGTTTTAAACTTCGTTATATTACACTTGGTGATTCTCTTATATGTACAGAAAAACTCAAAATTGTCAATTGAAAAAAAAACATTTTCTCTCACATAACATTCGTTGCTAACTTTGAGTTTATTTTAAATTTACATGCTTAAATTATTTACTCCTAATTAATATTATTGATACTAAATCTTTTCTTAATTGTTATACATTTATGTATGCAGTTTTTTCCAATTTTTTTATGAATAAAAATTTATACATACATACTAAACATTTATATTGCTTTTTTTGAACGGGAGATGTTGAAATGGTACGTAAATCATAAATAATATATGCGGAGACATAATAAATCACAGTGTCACATTTTTTTAAAAAAGTATTGCTCGTGATTTTCAGATGGTAAAAGATTATTAAAAAGATAGCACTTTATAACAGACATTTTTTGTGTTTCATATAAAATAGGTATGTACGTAAAATGAGTTTTTTAACTTTCACATGTTTAAATTATTCACTTTTAACTACTTTATTAAAACCAACTCCTTTTCTTTTAAATGAAAAGAAAAATAACCGTAATTAGTATCTCCCAACCTTAATTGATTTTTATAAAACAAAAAAGAAAGAAAATATAAATTTAAGAAAATAAGAATAATTATAAGAGTCACTTCATTAGGTAATATTAAATGTCATCTCACTTTTTTTATTTTGAAAATTTGATGTGTTTTGTAATACGTGAATATTAATTTCCAATTCTCCTCCCAATCTCAAATAAGTTATAATCCCTCCGTCCCGAAGTATTCGTTCAGTTTTGATTTTTGGAACTATTCATTTAAGCATTTTGACTCATCAAATTCTCTCAATGTGTAAGCCTAAATATAGTCATGTGTGATCTTGTTTGATTTGTCTTAACATATTGATTATTAATATATAATTTTTATAATTTTTTAATATACAAATTACAAGATAAAATGGATTAAAGAAGTATATTGAATGATGTGTAAAAATAAAAGTAGACAAATATTCTGACGGAGGTAGTATGCGCTAAATATCTTTTTTACATAATTTAAAATTTGAAATAAATGATTTAAGTTAGAACAAATGTAGTACTACATATTTTAGATTTTTAGGTGGTTAAGGCTCTGTTCCGTACGCCTGATATGATTGAATCTGATCTGAATTTTTGAAGTTCTGATCTGATTTGATTGGGTCTAATTTGATCTAATGATTTGATTGAATCTGATCTGAATTTTTGAAGTTCTGATCTGATTGGGTCTGATCTGATCTGATTGGATCTGATCTGATCTGATCTGATTAGGTCTGATCTGATCTGATTGAATCTGATCTGATCTGATTGGTTCTGATCTGATCTGATTAAATCTGATCTGATCTGATTAGATCTGATTTTTCTAATTAGATCTGGTGTAAATGAATTTAAATTTGATTTAAATTAAACTTAAAATTATTACAAAATTTAATAGTTTAAAAGTATTATAATTCATATATACATAAAAAAGTAAAATAAAAAATCAGCTAATCATCACTATGTTTGAACTTTTTTTTAAATATTAAACATCTTTTTTCAATATCACAATTTTTTAATTTTTGTGAAAACTAAATAATCGTTATTAAAATAAACAAATTTTAGAAAATATTGATGATATTTATAAAATTATCACATTCTATATAAATATTACATAATACTCCGTATTATATTTCATGTTATAAATTAAAGATCATCTCTAATTTTAAACACTAATATCGCTTTCACCTCTATCAATTTTGTCATAAACTCACCCTTGAGTATATTATACCATCTTAAAGTTTAAAAGTAAGTCTTTTTAAGTATAAAATATTTATAGTTTTGAAAACTAAATTTTGTATAATTACTTTATAAACAATTATTTTAAAATAACTCTTTTTAAAGTATGAAAAACAAAACTTTTTAAGCTTTAACATTGCTTCCATGCATCATTTCTATTCTACAAGCTAAACAATTATATAAAATAATGTTTTGTAGTTGAAATATAATACGGAGTAATAATAATAATAATAATAATAATAATAAAGTAATGTGATTTAATCAAATAATAGTAATTATTATTTAATCCTTGAAAAATATAAATATTATCTTTTATATTTTTTATTGATTTGATATTATTAGATTTGATTTGATCTTATCTGATTGGTTCTGATCTGATCTGATTTGATCTGATTTGATCTGATCTGATTGAGTCTGATCTAATTTGATTGGATCTGATCTGATCTGATTGAGTCTTGTCTGATCTGATCTGATTTTAATAAGAATAAGTAATAAGTAGAAAAAATAAATCCTACGGAACGAACCCTACGAAGACTTATGAAGTTTGAAAAGATTAGGATGAAAGAGATTTTTTAAATAGATAAAGTGTATAGATATAACTGGTCAAAGTGTCAAATTTAAAAACTTTAAAAGTGAAATGAACATATTTATCTTTTCATCTAAAGAGAGAAGAATAATATAATTTGAATTTAAAATATTAATTTATATTATGAAGTACCCCCTACGTCCTAAATTATAATGCATGTTCACTATTTACAAGATCAAACTTCATTCACTTTCTTTCTCTATTTTCGTTAGCAATTTAATAAAATAAAATACTATTGTCAGTATTAGTTTTGTAGACCTTTTAATGTAGTTTTTAATATGTAATTTTTATTTTTTAATTCTATACCATTTGTCATATAAAATGGTTTGAAAATAATTTCAGTCAAACATCGTAAACTGAAACAGGCGTTATAAAATGTGACGGGGGAGTATATAGATATAAATGGTCAATGTATACTATTATGAAGTTTGTATTAAGAAGTACATAGATATAAAGAGTCCGAGCATATATTATTCAAATATGGATCTTTTAAAAAAAACATACCACAAAGTTGTGTATTCTAAAATTAAGCAACAAAGAATCTAACAATAATAAATTAAAAAGTGTCTAACACACATGAAACACAAAAAAATGAATACTCTCAAACTTACATAAAATTTCTAGTGTTAGTTTTCCTATATTTTAAGGGTATTCATCTTCTTGCTTGACTCATCTCCATCTCCATCACAATGTTCTACCTCTTTCAATTCATTCTTCTGCCGAGAGTATGATATCTTCTCCATTTTCTTCCAACTGATTATCCTTTGATTCCACATAATCTTCAATCAAATTCTGCAAGATGAAAAGCAAAGAAATTAATGCAGTCCGTAGATGGTGTCAAATTCCAACTCTTGGCACGCACGGAGTGAAACAAATTTTTTTGGCATCTGTAATTTTTTAGTGTAATATTATCAAAGGATTATATGACATTATTCTTGTATTTAAGTCAACTAAGACAAAACATCTTCATATCTTTTTTTAGTGCAAGCTTCTTCATATTTAATTCAAGAAGGAAATAGAACCTTAATACACAAATAATAGCAAAAAGAGTACACAGAAAATAATACGGAGTATGCAGTATTACACAGAGACAAATGCAAGAAGCCACATTTAGTATTGCACATTTAGATATCGAGTAGTCAAACATGTATTTCATGTCTCTCTATACATAAAACATAAAAGATTATAAATGAGATACTAGTATAGGATTTTAACCACATACAAACATATAAGTGCCTAAATTTCTCTTTTCAATCTATCATGGATTAATTTCTATGGCAAACCGCTGCGGCTTTCTTCATCATTCTTCTCTTCCGCTTCTTTCTGCACTGCGGCTTTCTGCTCTCTGCTTTCTTCATATTCCCTCTGTTCTTATTTGGTACTTTTTAAATTTTATAGCTGGATGTAATGTACCTGATTTTCAACATACGTCTCTGGTGTTATCCAATGATGCCTTGATAGATTCTACCATTCTTGTTCAAGAGGCAGAAACATCAGAATTAATTGGCAAAAAAGTAAATTCAGAGAAAGAGGCATTTGATTTTTATAATGAATATGCATTTAGGATTGGTTTTGGTATTCGTTATTCAACTTTAAGGAAAGGTCAGAATGGTTTGAGTATCAGAGGGAGAGAGTTTTGTTGTAATAAAGAAGGTAAAAAAAGATCAAAGGAGCTGTTGGGAAAAAATTCACCAAAGTTGATCGACGCACTGGTTGTCAAGCTAAAGTTTACTTTGAATTGAAGGATAATGGTGATTGGGTTGTAGTTAGACATTTGATGGAACACAATCATTCGTTTTGCCCTTTTTCATTGGTTCACCATGTAAGATCACATAAAGATATTTCTCAAGAACAGCTGTCATATCTTAATCTTTTAAAACAACAAGGGGTTAAAGTTGCTGATGCATTTCGTTGTTTGAGGACAGAAGCTGGGGGGTCACCTGCGGTTGGTTTTGCATTGAGAGATGTTTATAACAATTTGGAAAAAGACGCTAAAAGGTGCTTTGATGGTACAGATGATAATACTTTAGTTAAGTATTTTAGGCAACGACAAAGAAACGAGGAAGATTTTTTCTTTGCCTTTGAGGTTGATTTTGAAGGTTCATTGGTCAGTTTTTTTGGAGGGACAAGCAGATGAAGGAAGATTATTGTTTATTTGGTGACTTGATTGTGCATGATACAACATATCGTACAAACAAATATGAAATGATTTGTGGGCCATTTGTTGGGGTTGACAACCACACTCATAACTGTATGTTTGGTTGTGGGTTTTTATTGAATGAAAGAATTGAATCTTTTGAATGGTTGTTTCAAACTTTTCTAGAAGCAATGAGTGGGTTGCATCCTAGAACTATTATGACTGACCAGTCTTTTACAATGTCTTCTTCAATTTCTTCAGTATTCCCTAATTCCAAACATCGTCTATGTGTATGGCACATTTCTGAATAATCCAAGAAGCATATAAGGGATTTGAGGAACCAGGATGGTTTTTTGGATCTTATTGATCATGTTCTTAAACTTTGTCATACCATTCCTGAGTTTGACTATTACTGGAATAGGTATGTTCATTTGGTACTGTCTTTTGTATCTTGAGTGACATTCTTTTATTATATATTATTGTCATTTTCATTATAAATTTTATTCTTTTTTTCCAGGTTGGTTACAGAGTATTTGTGTATGGATAATGGTTGGTTAAAGAAGCTTTATAACCTTCGAGAGAAGTGGTGCCCATCTTCTCTGCTGGTATATTGTCTTCCCAACGTAGTGAGTCAACCAATCATGCCTTGTCTAGGAAAGTTAGTGTAACTGCTACTCTATGTGATTTTTATAATTTCTTCTGTGAAACTGTGAGTGAATGACGTAGTCATGAGAGGCGTGATAATGAACGATGTTGGGAGGGATTTCCAGAGATTGCTATCCCATATGTGAGTTTACTCTATCGAGCCTCAAGAATCTACACCATTGATGCATACATGTTATTTGAGAAGGAATTTATCAAAAGCTTGTTTCTTAAACATGAGATCAGACATTCAGATGGCAGTTTGCTTCGTTATTTGGTGTATGTGCCAACTGACAGTGTTTTTCCATACTTTGTTCTCTATGATACTTCCACTTATAGTGCTAGTTGTACGTGCAAACACTTTGAAGAAGCTGGCATTCTTTGTTCTCATATTCTGCGAATTTATCACATTCATTGTGTTGTTATATTTTGAAACGTTGGTCACGTAATGCAAAGTCATTTGAAGAATCCCATACTGCTTCTAGGTTTCCTGTTTTACCTTCTGTTTGGCGGTTACAGATGCAAAGGAAAGTTCACAAAGTTTTGTCTTCAAGTGATTCCAATGAAGTAGGTAGGGCTTTGTGTGAGGAAGCATTTAATAAGTTGAAAGTCGATGTTGAAGCTCATGTTGGCAGCATTTATTTTTCTGATACTGATTCACCTCATAATGGAGAAGTTCAGATCAGTAATCTAAAGGGTTCGAGGAATAAGAGAGAAAGGAATGTTAGGCGAAAAAGTGTTAGAGAAAAGAAGACTAATCAAGCTAGAAGCTGAAAAGAAGCTGTCCACCGGAGTGCTTCTACATGTTCTACAGAACTTCCAAGTTCAATGGCTTGTTCTTCATTGTTAGATACATGAATTATGATTTGTTCACTTTTTACATTAAATGTTGAAAGTTACAGTTGTGCAAGTAATTTCAGTTTTCTCTATTTTCTATTTCGAGTCACTTTGGACTTGGGAGTATTGTGGAAATGTTTATCAGAAATGAATTGGAAATGTTCACTTTGGAGTTATTTTGAGTTCTCAAAAAGTTTATAGGCAATGAGTTGGCATTGGTTTTGTTTCTGGTGCTTTATTTTTTACTTGGCAGTATGTTAACCATTGGTTGTGTTTAAGTCTTTTAGCTCTTCTGCAATGTTTTATCATGGCCATGTATTCATTCCTTTGGATCTCACAATATAAACCACTGTCATTATAAAAGATGCTGACAGTGAAGGGAATGTCTCCCAGACCTGGGGCACTTCTCTCATATGTTGCACTGAATTTTATGCCTTTTTTAGATCTCTATAAGTTTTGTGTAATGAATACCATGACATATCTGAATGAGTACTAACACATACAAGAATGAACAATTTATATTGTGAGAAATTAGTATATTTTTCCTACTTTATCTTGACCATGGCATTAGAACTGAATAAAAGTTTATGTAAACCTCTCGTACACGAATACATATCTTTTCCTTCAGTGTGCCCCGCCCGGTGCACATGCCCGCTTGGCGGGCTCCGCGCTCGTTATCCTTTCCTCCCATTCGAATTTTGTTTCGATCTAGAGAGATACTACAAAGCCCGCGTCATGTCATCGGCATGTCCCAACGACAGGCTATAGTATTGAGTATAGGAAACCAATCCACTTGCAGCTGCCAGTGCCCACCGGCTATGGCACCGTGTGAGCTTGAAGAACCATCCATGAAGAAAGCCGTTTGTTACGCACAGGTCGCTCCTGGGTTGGGTAAGCACGTGGACCTCAGAGACGTACCTTGCCTAAATCGTTAGAAGTATGACTCACATAGCCATAGGTAAGGCAATTCACATTCGTTCTCGTGTGTTTTTTACAGATTCGACACATTATGTACTCACATTGTGTACCTTCACACATTAGAATGAGTACTAGCGCACAAAACACTGAATATATATATGTGTGTGTGTGTGTATGTATATATATATATATGTATGTATATATGTATATATGTATATGTGTGTGTGTGTGTGTGTGTGTGTGTATATATATATATATATATGAACTTTCCCTTCAGCAACGTCATCGTACCCGACTCAATTTCATACAAAAAGAACCGCTGAAAGTAATATACATTTCTCAACCCCAAAAGTACATAACATATGCTAAACACATCAGTTTTCATAACAACAATATAATCATAACACTAATATAACCACATAAGTTCTCATCAAAATTAAAATTCAGTTATCCATAGTACTAATATAACCACACACAAAAAAGTTGTCTTCATCATCTATACATTATTTAAAAAGACATCAATTTTTTCCCGCCCATGCATGACACTCATATATGGAAAGTGTTGGCAACATAAATGGTAGTTTAATTATTTTTCATTAATGTTTTCCTTCCATTATTTCAATGAGAGGTTAAAAAATAAAAAAAAAAAATTGGATCATGCTACACTTACACCAAAAAATGTACACTATTTGTATACCACAATTATGCACAGACATTTTGATGGTTTACACCAACACAAGTGTTGGTGCGTTAACAAAAATTTACACGGACACAAAGTGCTGGTGCATTAACAAAAATTAATTTTACATCAATACAAAATATTTGTGCAAATTGAGGTATAAAGGTTGAGATACATATACCAAAATCCAAAAATATTTTCTCAGCCTCACTCTTGTCTCTCTCGCTCATTTCTAGGAGCGACACACGATCCATGACGCGTGCACTGGTGCAAAGAAATCACTCTCAGACAAATGAAATCTCATTCGGAGCACCAAAGGAATGGAGGAGCCAGCTCAAAACAACATTTCAGACCCTTCACGAGATTTAATGGAATTCGGATTTTGATTCAGATGCGAGATAAACCAATCGCGCTTCCCCTTCAATTACATGCGCTCGCATCCTTTTTATTGTATTTATACTGCAAATTATTCCCATTCCCGATGAATTTCACATCGGAAGGGACAAGAATGTAGGGAATTAGAGAGATTGGAATGTATGGAAATGGTGAGGGAAGGAACAGATAGCTTGGAGAGGGAATTCGAATCCATGGCTAGGCTTGAAAGCAATCCGTCCAGTGTTGGGAGATCCACAAGCTTTTCTTTCAGAGCGCCGCAGGAGAAGTTTTCAATTCAAGATTTTGAATTGGGCAAGATCTATGGTGTTGGTTCTTACTCTAAGGTCACCCTTTTTCTTTTCTATTTTTTTGGGATTTTTATTTTTACCATTTTTAGTTTACCTTGTTGATTTGTAATGCAGTTATAGTCAAAATATTATTATTGTTTATTTGGTGCTAGTATTGATATTCTATATTAAAATTCATTCATTTCTTTTGGAATCCATTCTTAAATGTGAAGAGATATCAAAACAACTTCGTTTTGGATGTTTTATAGTATGCCCAAAACAGTTTTTTTTTTTGGTGTTTTATAAAATTGGTACGAGATTCTAATGTCCCGAGTTTGATTTCTCTGTCTACCATTTAGATATAACATGAGAGGGCGGTCGTTGGGAAAATGGTGGTCATATAATACTAACGATCATCATCATTATCATTTGTTTCAACTCAGCCTGTTATTGTTACAGGTCGTTAGAGCAAAGAAAAAAGATACTGGAAATTTTTATGCCTTAAAGATCATGGACAAAAAGTTCATTACCAAAGAAAACAAAGATGCGTATGTCAAATTAGAGCGTATTGTGCTTGATCAATTAGATCATCCTGGAGTTGTCCAGCTATATTTTACATTTCAAGATGCTTTGTCACTCTGTGAGTTTTTTTATCAATAGATATCTGTTTCCCGTTTAGCTTCTTAACTAGCTTAATTATATGAATGTTTTGGTGCACTTTTATTTGTCTTGAGTTCCTTTTGTCTGTTTTGCAGATATGGCACTTGAATATTGTGAAGGCGGAGAACTTTTTGATCAAATAACAAGGGTAAGCTGGTCACCATTGCTTTAGTTTAACATACCATTTCAACAATCTTACCAGTTAGGGATAGGTTCACAATGATGTAACTTTCTTGAAGGATTTCTATCTTAAGAATGACATTAGGAGTCCATTTAGTTCCTAAAGAATACTAGGGAAAAATTCAGGAAAGAAATATCTGGAGAAATTAAAACCTAGGCCAAAGTTCAATAAATGTTTTAAAAGATAGTTGTTGATACACATCTTATTTATATATGTCCATTATAAAGAATGTTAATCCAAATATTGTGTACAAGAAAAACTAAAATGAATACCAACTTCATTTTCCTGAGATAAAACCAAACATAAGAAAATATATTTCCTTGATTCGTTTTCCCCTTTCAATTGCATTTCCAGGATCCAAATATACAGCAGGACTCTACATTCCATTTATGTTGATCAAGCATGCATAAGATTTATAAAATATTTCCTTGTTCTTGAGTCTTTTTTCCCGCATAAATGCTTTCTATATTGCTACTATGTAATGTACAGATGATGTTCTGTGAGTGCAGAAAGGGCGTTTGTCCGAGGACGAGGCTCGTTTCTATGCAGCTGAAGTTGTAGATGCTCTTGAATATATACACAGTATGGGGTTAATACACCGGGATATTAAGGTATGTCGACTATGCTGGTTGATCACCTATGTTAGTGTATGAAGAGGCTGTGTCCGCTGACTGCTTTGTATTGCAGCCAGAGAATCTACTGCTTACTGCAGAGGGGCATATTAAAATTGCTGACTTCGGCAGTGTAAAGCCAATGCAAGATAGCCGTATAACTGTCCTACCGAATGCAGCATCAGGTAAATAATGCTTGGTTTTACCTTGGAACATCAAATTTAATAGCAACATTTTTCTTAAACTCCATGGCATCAAAGTTTCAATTTGTTTGGGGACAGAGGGAGTACACACACACACACACACACACACACACATATATATAATCTGTGTCTCTGTGTGTGTCATTAAACAATAGAAATATAAATAAATTGAGTTGGACTTGGGGTTGAGTTTGAATTTTTTCTTCTAAACAAAGACTTTGAACCTTTTTAAAGGGTGTTGCTAATCCACTCTTCCTTTTGCTAAATCCACACCTTTTATAAAAATGGACAAATCTATCCTTAAAGTGTAAAAACAGGGAAATGCAAGATGTGGGTTAACTTAAGGGTAAAATTGAACGTTTATCACATATGGGTGGATTTAGCAATACCCTTTTTAAAATTCTCCCATAGATTTTAGTTCCTCCCCCCCCCCCCAGACATTTTTCTTGGTTCAAAAGAGACCCTTAGGGATCTTACTTCTTATGGAATACATGCTGATCTTTTCTAGATGATAAGGCATGCACCTTTGTGGGAACAGCTGCATATGTCCCTCCAGAAGTTTTAAATTCTTCTCCTGCAACTTTTGGGTATGACGATCTTTTATTCATATTATTTATTACTACATTACTTTGATCAAGCATAAGAAGGTTTGACGAGAGAAGTTTATACATGATAGTTCAATAACATATTGGGAATTATCCTGCGGAAGTTAAGGGAAGTGTTTCAATTTGCTTGTAACAATTGTTTAAAATGTTTTGCCAGAAATGACCTTTGGGCACTAGGTTGCACTTTGTACCAAATGCTTGCAGGAACATCTCCTTTCAAAGATTCTAGTGAATGGCTTATTTTCCAGAGAATTATTGCCCGAGATGTGAGATTTCCAAACTTCTTCTCTGCTGAAGCGCGAGACCTTGTTGATCAGCTATTGGTAATTGATTGCTTGGCCACACTCCTTTATCAGTTCTACATGTTTTTTTCCCTTCCTTGTCTAATATTACATCGACTCTACCTTTATCGGTAGGGGTAAAGACTGTGTACCCCCACTCCACCATTCCCAAACACTACTTTTGGGAACTTGTTGGGTTGTTTTTTATAGCTGGGCTCACTTAATAAGGTTTCTTTTCCACTTGGGTTGTTACGAGGAAGTACATACTCCATATATTGTTAAGATTGTACACTGGTATATAAACCACATGAAAAACAAGCTAAGGGTCAAGGACTAGAAGTTACACAATCAAAGGCTTGAGGACCAAAATGAAGAAAAAAAAGATGAGATTGAGATGTGAAAGGTTATGGATTATTTTGAAACTATTCAAAGGTCAAAGAACAAAACAAAACCAATTCAGAAAGGCAAAGACTAAAAATTTAACTTATTACTTCATGGTAGTCAGGGACTAAAAGGGATATACCAATGATGCAATGTTCCTGGTGCACAAGGCTTCCCCGCTGGGTGGGGGTATGGGGAGGGTCCCACCATGAATGTATGATGTAGGTAAACTCTAACATTGCATTTTTCCAAGTGGTTGCTTCGAAGACTCGAACACTTGACCTCAAGGTCACTCACCAGCACCTCAACCAGTGTGTCAATGCTTCCCCCTGCATGACGATGAGGTGATGTAATTACGTTTAATGATATTCATGATGACTCAGGACATGGATCCAAGCAGGAGACCTGGGGCAGGACGTGATGGTTACACCGTGCTTAAGAACCACCCTTTCTTTGAAGGGATCGACTGGAAAAATTTGAGATCTCAGACCCCTCCGCAACTTGCTATGGAACAAAAAGTACATATCTCACTCTTGATGTCGTTTACTTTCCCTCCAGAGTATACCTTTAATCCTATTGTTGAATTCTTCTTCCTTTTTGTTTTTGAAAAAATAGTGTAATATAATGATTTCTCAAGTTTTCTTTCTAATTTTAAGACGCGATCTACTCGTGGCGGAGGTGAAGATCGGGACTGTTCACAGTCATGTGGCAGCATAACCAAAATTGCTTCACTTGATTCATATGATTCTAAGTGGTATGTTACATCACTTACATGACTTCATAATAGTAATTTCAATTTGATGAAATAATCCTCCTGATAAGATGATTAAAAGGAATTTGTTTTATGAGTACCCATTCTAGCGTGCATGCAACCTTACCTTGATATGCATAGAGAGGATGTTGCCATGGTTAAAGCTGAAAAATGCGAATAGACACTTAAATAGACACACATGTATTAGAGGATAAATTGTTTTCTAGTCCCTCGGTCATGTGGCATTAATAAGCTTAGTCCCTTCAAAGCTGGCTGTGAAATTTAATGAAGCTTAGTCCCAGCAGTAACAAGAGTTTTGTTTCTGAACAGGCAAGCATTTCTGGAGGCTGGGGAGACTGTTCTTATGACTTCTGCAATGAAGAAAATGCAGAAAATTACGAGTAAGAAAGTACAGCTTATCCTCACTAACAAGCCCAGGCTTATTTACTTAGACCCATCAAAGCTTGCTGTGAAATGGAATACCATCTGGTCTGACAATCCCAATGATCTTAGCGTTCAAGTCACAGCCCCTTCGCAGTTGAAGATTTGCACGGTACTTACATGCGCTCCCTTAATACATTAACACACACACACACACACTGATGGGTATATCGGGACTCTGCTAATTGTAAACAGCCCATTTATTCATTTAATTGTAATTACACCTGCCAAGCTCAATCCACCTCTAGGGGAAGCCCACCTAAAAGGGGTTGGAGCGAGCCGACCTGGAAGTGAGACGCAGGCCCACGTGAAAAGGGTCTTCTTGTTATGGATCGTAATTAGTGGTTGTGTAGTTGTACTATAATTGCTTTGTTTGGATGAGAAGTGAAAATGGAAAGAAAATATTATTGTTTGGATGAATTGAAAATGGAGAGAAAATGAAGAGAAAAAGTGAAAAAGGGTCTTTGTACATAAAAAACATCTTTTGTTTTGCATTGCTACAGCCAAAGAAAATTTTGTTGTTTGAAGATGCTAAGCAGAGGGCATTTCAGTGGAAAAAGGCAATTGAATCCCTTCAAAACAGGTGAAAATAAGTTTAAAGCAATTGTTTTTTTTCTCACTTTTCTTTCCATTGTGTTCCAACTTTCTTTGCTGAATTTACTATTTCTGTTACCATCAAAGCAGGCCGGAGGCGGGAATCCATTCGAGCGGCGGCGTAGGGAACACAGCCGCCCAGCCACAGCTTGACAATCTCTTCAGAAATAACATGTTTAGAAATTAACAAAATTGATAAATTTGTCATTAAATAAATGAAATTTGTATTAAATATTGCTTCAAAAATACTTTTATTAAATTTATAATGTATTATATTTTAAAAATATTACTAATTATTATACCATGTAATTTTTATTTAAGTTAAGGTCAAATATAAATACTGGTTGAGTGGAAAAAGTTAAAACTGGATAAATATTCAAGTCGGGAGAAATATGAAATAGTCAAAGTTAGCAACGGAAGAGTAAATAATACTCCCTCCGTCCCGAAGTATTCGTTTTTAAGTTGCTACAATAATATAGAGAAAGTATTAAAGTTTTACGGAATATATTTTTATTCTCAAAATAAAAGTTTATACTGTGATAATGTGATATTCTATATTAACATTTTACAATACTTCTGATTTTGTATATGCAAATTAACTCGTATTTTGGTAATAAAAATATGTAACTCTTATTTTGATATATTTTCCCCCTCTGTCGCAATTTAAAGAAAGTGAATGAAGTTTGACTTTGTAAATTGTAAACAGACAATTTAAATTAAGATGGATGGTGTATGTTTTATTCTTGCTTTATTTTTTTTCACTTTGATGTATAAAATGTGATGTATGATTATTTTTATTTTATTGAGACATTGTTTTACGTATATTATTTATGTCAAAAAAAATTTCATTTAAAATTAATAAAAAGTATCAATTCATTTGTCTCCTTATATTTGTTACATGAATAGTAATACACATTTTAAAAAATGAAAAGTTATATGAATTATAATTTAAAAAGTAAAAAAAGTAAGAGTGAGCGTGAATCACACAAATATTTAATACGGAGTATGATTTAGAACAAAAATATAATGGTATAGAATAAAAATAAAAAAAGATAAAAAATTGAAATGGTAGAGCATAAATTATTTTAAAAAAATATGAAAGTTATGAAATGCAATAATTATTTTAACACTTTTTTATTTTTTCAAGTCCTTCAAGTTTTTCCAACTCATTACGATTTCTTTCAACTCCTTTTAGTGTCATTTAACTTTTTTTAAAATTTCTTCTAGCTCATTCTAATTCATTCAATTTTTTTCTAACTTCTCCCTATATCTTTCAACTACTTACTGTTTTGAATTTATAGACAATGTTTATTATTTCACTTTATTTATGTATTTTTTTGCTTGTTGGCATACAAAATTTATTTGGGATATGGTCTTTGATTTCATAGGGCAGCACACAAACTTTTTATGTGAATTTGTACTTCAAACATTGTCAAAATTATAAAGAATCAATTTAATTCTCCCTTCGTACAATAAAAAAGTTCCACGTTTTCAAAAAAAATTGGGTGGTCCTTATAATTTTTTACTTATTTAATTCTAAGATTACATCATTTAAATTTAAGATTAATGGAAAGAATGTGACAACATGGAACGAGTGCAAGGAGTACTAGAAAATAGAAATCATTTAAATATATGATTAATGAGAAAAACTAGAAGTTATTTAAATCTAAGATAAGATTACTTGGGTGGTCCTTATAATTTTTAAGTTATTTAAATCTAAGATTAATGGAAAGAATGTAACAACATTGAAGGAGTACTTGAAAATAGAAATAATTTAAATCTATATTTTAAATCTAGACAATATTAAAAAAATGAAAACTAGACAAATAGACATAGATATTACGAAGTATTTCTTATATTAATGAAAACACTAGAATAGTATTAATATTTTATTAATGTAAATAATGGAAAAACTAAAGTACTAGAGAATAGGAGTCCTTTAAATATATAATTTAAAAATATTAAAATAGGAAAGGAAAATATTTTTGGACTCCTTTGTAGCAATTTCATCATGAGATCAAAAGAAATAAAAATTTTTATCTTAAAAAAGAAGTATTTTCTTGTTCTGACAAAAAAAGGTGGAGATTATAATTTGCCAATAACAAAAAAAATGGCTCAGTTCTACAATTATCATCATCATACACACAGGGCGTACTCAGCAGTTCAGGCAATCCAATTACCCGTTGCTAAATTAAGTCATCATCGCCAAATGCACCAGCCGGGATTCGAACCCGGGTCTGTACCGTGGCAGGGTACTATTCTACCACTAGACCACTGGTGCTTGTTGTTAGGCGAATGTGATAACAAAATATAAATCAGACTTTATCAATTTATCATCTTCGTTATATACCTAAATATTTGCGCTTACATTTGATAGTTTAAATTGGCACAAAATTTTAGTGTGAATGTAAAATTTTGCATTGACAATTTGTGTCAATGTAAACGATCAATCTCACACTTACATTGACACAAAATGTATGAGAGTAAATCTTTGAGATATATTTTGGGGTACAATATTTAAAATACAAGTAGATTTATCTGTTTTTAAAATTAAACGGAGTATCAATTAAGCAATTTCGTTCGTGATTTTTTCTAGGGGTGGACAAGAATTTCAAATCCGTTGTCATGACCCAAAATATCCCGATCTTGTCCCTATACTATTCCGTTTTGTTTGAGATAACAAAATTTTGACCCAAGCTTGTTCTGATCCGTTTTAAAATGGGACGAGACCAAGACACATAAATACTTTCATATTCCGTCCCGTTGTCCCATATATATGTATATATCTATTTATATATTTATATAATGATATAACACAAAAAAGTATTACAATTTTTTATTTTTCTAGTGATGGCGTAACATCTATATGGGCAGACAAAACACAGGTAAATTTTACCAATGGTACCTGAACTTTAGCTGGAATTTCGAAGTGGTACCTGAACTTCAAATCCTTTCACAAAAATCCCTGAACTTACACAATCCTTTCACTAATGAGCCATTAGCCCGTTTCTAGGTTAACTTCCGGTCATTAGGGCCAAATTCGAATTTTATATATTTTAAAATTTTCAATTTGACCTCATTTCTTCTTTTCTTTTCTTCCAGGCCCCGCCGCCGCTGCCCGCCGGTCAAAGTCGCCGGAAAATGAACTTTTTCCGATTCTGGCGGGACCAATGTCATTCTCTTCGTCTTGAGACGAGGATCAATAATATCCAAACCATTTTGTCTAATTTGGCCTATAACTTCTCGAATCTGAATTTTTCTACTCGAAAACCCTAAAATCGAAATGGGGTCCAAAATTGGGAGTTTTGCAAATCATTGTCAAATCTTGCAATTGAGAGGTCCTTGAAGGTCGCCCGGATGCCACGACTGCATTGGAGTTGGTGCCCGCTGTCGATTTCGCCGGAGTTGGCCGAATAACGCTCTGACCCATGCCCACCCTGTTTAAAAAATAGAAAAGTAATTTGTTCGAAATTTATTAGTAAAATTTGCACTAAATAGTAAATATGACAAAACATAAATCATTTTCCAATGTAGGACTTACATCTTTTTATTCCTTAAATATGATTTAATAATGTCTAGGGGAAGAAATAATGTCTAATGATGGAGAACATTTATTTAAATAATAACTAATTAATACTCGTTCTGCCCCATAGGTCTTTCCAATAGCCCTTTTCCTTTGTCCATTATAAATCTTCTCATTTCATTTTTTAACAAGTAAAATACCACAACTACCCCCACTTACTTTATTTATTACACCTCACCCACCTCATTAAGAGTATTATGGTAAACTTTTACCTTTTTTCAACTCTCCATAAAAACCATCAAAAATCAAAATGAGAACATCTTAGCGGACGGAGGGAGTAATAGTATTATATTGGAAAATAAAAAATGTTAGTTCTACTCTATTTATTACTCCAGAGTACAAATCACTGCCTAGGGGAAGCGATTAACCAGCGGCAGAGCTCTCGGGACGATGATGCGATGATACCTCCGGCGGCTTCATTCCCCGTTTACCCTCACCGACCCGTCGCCGATTCATTCCACAACCGACTCATTGACATCGTTAAAATTGCTCTCATCAAAATCTTCGTCTCTCCTTACGCCACAGTAAGTTCCTCGTTCTACATATATCTCTTACAACCGGCAGGCCTTTTGATACTTTTCTTGAAATTTTTTGAAATTAAGTTCGGCTTCTATGTCAATCTGTGTATGATTAGGTTTGTGAATTGTACTGTGGGAAAGTCCCGAACGAAGAAAAATGGGATGAAGCTCACATTAGCCACTACATTGGGATTGGTATGATCCCATTTCTTTGAATTGTTTATTGATTCTTTGTTTCCAGGTTTGAATTATTCCCCGTTGTTTATTTTCACCCCATTGCAGATGTAGCCACTTCCGGAATGAATGAGAAAAAGGAAGCATGGGAGAGTCTGCGCAAGGTTTACACTACTGAGCTGATTGAGCTTGATCCTTGCACTGTAAGGCTCTTAATCTGCCTATGCTTGTTTATCTACACATCAAGTAATAGTTATGATACAATCTGTTTCTGTGTCTATCAGCAATGCTGTCATTTTCTTTATTGCATTCCTTTGTGGAACATTTATTGTGTTCTTGTAGAAGAGTTATTGTGTCTTTATTATAAATAGGAAATTCGGAAACTGGGAGTGAGGGAAATGGGATACACGTATTTTCTTCAATTTTGATCTGATCCGGGAAGAAAAGGGAAACATAAGAAAAGACCTATCTTGGTGTACAGTGAAATTGGGCATGGATAGTTAATGCTGCTGCCTAATTGGATGATGATGGTGATTCTCTTTTACGAGTTCTTTAGGTCAGTGAGAGTGTCTCAATGTTCATATTCTGTGAGTATAGAACAATGGGTGATTTTCATGGAGGTTACTGCCTTCATTGCTTGATTTGTTTCTGTAAATTCCTATATGATTTTTCTTCAAACTAGTATTAATATAATGATATATTTTTTATTACGTCTTGTTTATACTGGGATTAAGTTTGTATGATATATATCTTCCTAAAGGACTGCATATCCATTATGCAGGAAGATTTGAAAAGACATCATCAGGATAAAGACAATGAGGCTGATATTGTTTTCTGCATGCACAATTTACAGGTTCAATATCTTCCATGTGTCCTTATCTGGATGACATTGTATGTTCATATCCTCTGAAAGTTCCAAACAAACCATCTGTGTTTGTAGTTGTGCTTTGAAACAGAAGAAAAAACGAGGAAGCTGTTGCATAATGTTTCATCTTTGTTGAAACCTGGTGGTTATTTTCTTGGTATCACAACCGACTCATCTACTATATGGTACATCACTAAATGCTAATTGCTTCTTATTCAACTTGTTTCTTGTTTGTTGTGTTGCTTGTGTATGCACATGCTTTAGGTTTGACCATATCATTCTGTTTGCATTTCTTTTCAAATCTTACTTGGATGTATGTATTCATTTGACAACACAATTTGAAATGGTTGATTGGTCCTTGGTGTCTAGTGCCTAGGTGGGGCTTAGCCGGGATCAAGGTGGCACAGAGATTTGTTTCACATAATTCAACTCATTTAGTCGCTTGAATCAGTACAAAATGTGTTCATAAGTGAGGTGAGTGGAATTATGTGAAACTCATTTGAAACAAACCTTTACACTCAGTTCAAGAAGTATAAGACTTCATAAGCTTTTCATTACACACATTACAGATTCATTTTTTATGTGAAACTCATTCGGTCATAGGGGAGTTCAGAAACGATCTGATCGTAGATAGAGACTGAAATCTATGCAGTTAAGGCCACCTGGGCAAGATAACAAAAAATGTAGGCAGCCAGTATCACAATTGTGGATGTAACCATATGTATAGGGTGTTTGGGGTTTTATTTGAAAGCAACTTTTAAGCTTTTACTTTACCCAAGTGCAGTTTTGGGTGTTTGTCAAATCAGTTTCTGCTTTTTGTTTTTGGCTTTAGATGTGGCAAAATTAGGATAAGGTGATTTTTATTTCTGACTTCGGCTTATGCTTTTTCGGGAATCCACCACATTGCCTAATACCCTCGTAGTCTCTGGTTACTGTTGAGTTGGTTTAAATGGCTTGTAAGTGCCATTCTCCCACAGTCCCACATTATGAAATGATAAGAAATATTTTTAAATTTTGAAAATGACGATCCGTACCACCCCGTTAATTACTCAAGCTGTCAAGCACCACATTTACACTTGGGGTACAGAGTCACCAAGTTAACAATTATCAACATAATTTAGGGAACAAAGCTTTATATTGCTTTAAAAGAATTTAAAAATCCATTGTCTATGGAAATAGTCTGATACATGCTACTACATACATTATTAGCTTACATAGAAGGAAACTCCATGACAATCCAACCCTTGTTCCTTGTTTAGTTTCCTTCAAACTACCATGTCTGCATACATCAGTATTTTCCCCACAGTTCCAGTTGTCTTGTCAATGCCAATAACTCAATAAGCACTAACCTTCTGCGCATATAAAATACTCACAAAGATTAAGGGGCTGTTTGATAACTTCTGAATGGATAAGTGCTGAACCAGGAAGAGGTCTGAACCATTAAGTGCTGAACCAGTAAGAGGTCTGAACCATTAAGAGCTAGTATATTGTTTAACTATTCAGAGGCAAATGTCTGATCAATTCAGATAAGAGCTCTTAACCATTCAGACTCTGTATAATACTTAACCATTCAGAGGCAAATCTCTTAACCATTCAGACATCTGAACCATTAAGAGGCTGAAACAAACAGTCTGAACCATTAAGTGCTGAATCATTCAGACATCTGAACCATTAAGAGGCTGAAACAAACAGCCCCTAAGAGACATGTTGAAATTATGTTTGAAAAGTAAAAAGTGAGTGGTTAGAATTTGTTTAGAAGGGAGAGAAGTATTTTGGATCACATGTTCTTTTCCAAAAAGGGAAAGAGAGAATGTAAGAGATAATTATTTTGGGATGAATAGAAAGGAAAAGGAGAAGGCTTTTATGGGACATGGGGGAGTGTTATGCTATTACGTCCTTACCACATTACTGTGACAGGGCAAAGTACCAGAAGAATGTTGAAGCCTGCCACAACAAGGGTAGCGGAATGAAGCCTAACATGGTCCCCAATTGCATTAGAACTGAGAGTTACACAATAGCTTTTGAGGTTGAGGAAGAAAAGTATGTAGGGATTCCTCACTTTGACCAATTTTTTTGTATTTTTTATGTGTCATTCAATTACCGATTTTCCTATAATTTGTTTGCAGGTTTCCTTTTTTTGGAATGAAGTATCAATTGAAGTTTGCAAATGATATATCTGCAGAAACACAGTGTCTGGTTCATTTCCCAAGCTTGATAAGGTTCTGCTAGGCCTAACATCTGAGATAACTTATACGGAGTATGTTTAGTTATTGAGACATGGAAAGCTCTTTATTGACTTCATAGATTTTCTCCTTAGGTTGGCCAGAGAGGCTGGACTTGATTATATCGAGATTCAAAACTTGACAGATTTTTATGATGATTATAGGTATGGATTTTTACCTACAACTTTAGTGCTCAATGTATTTACTATATTTCTTGCACTAATCACTAATGATTTTCTTTACACTATGGTTCAAGGAATGTTTAAGAGAACAAAAAAGAAAATTAGAGAGAGAACAATTTTTTTTGTTTGGTTACAGAGGAACAAGAAAAAGAAAGAAAAGTGGAAAGAAATGAAAATGGAAGAAGAAATACTCTAAGAAGGAAAATGATTTCCCTTCCAATTTAGCAAGGAAAAGGAGAGAAAACCTTTCTTTTCTTCTCCTTTCAAAATTTGACGAACCAAACATAGTGTTAAAGTTTCTTCTATACTGTGTTCATGCATAAAGACTGATCTTATTTTCCTTTGTTTACTGTCTCATAGGGCACAGTTTGTAGGAATGCTACAAGATGCCAACCATACTCTCACAGATACTAGGGGCAGACTACTCCCTAGAGCTTATGATGTTTTAGGTGACCATCTTCACATGTTTGTTTGTATAATACTTTAAATTCAAGGGCTAATTAACTCATACAATTTCTCTCACACATTCTCTCAACTTAGATACAGATTATATTAATTGCAGGCCTTTTCACCACCTTTATATTTCAAAAGCCTGATCCAGACATTACTCCACCTCTGATGACTCAATTCATATTAAACAAAGGCTACGATGATGATGAGGCAAGTAAATATGATAGTACAAAGCACATCTGTTAAGCATTCCGTCAAGTGCATCACTCTCTTTATTTGTCTAAAATCTTCGTTTCCTCTTTGTAGATGATACAACAGATGGAATGCCAAGGAACTGTGTGGAGAGATGATGAGAGGAACGGGCAGCCCGATCCTTCTCTGGGGTTGGCCAAGATAAGTGAACAAAAGGGGATATTGGGTCCGGGCCCCGCACAATTTCGTTTCCCCGAAGCACTTTGACCAAGAAACATCAAGAGGATTGCTGCTTGCCTCTCTCTCTGTACTGTGTAAGGTTAGTACTTAGTAGTTTTACCCTGTTGCGGAAGGAGGTTTATATTTCTAACTACCCTTGAAATAGAGTTGTTAGCAAACTCCCCCGTCACCATATTATTGTTGTTAATAGTGTTATTTTGGTATTCACAAAAATTGACAGTTCTCAAAATGTTGCTATAATTTAAGGGTGATGCATAGTGTACAAACAAAGATTCATTTGTGTGCACACAAACAAAGATTCATTTGTGACCCACCGACAAATCTATGGAGCGCAAAAATGAAGCTTGGTTTACACCTTAGTGTAAACTTCGGTGTGCACCAAGTGTTTTTGATTAAAAACAATTTGTGTGAAACTCACAACTCTTTTTAAAGCTTACAACTCCTTATCGAAGGGGCATTTTAGTAAGATGCAACTTGGATTATTCTTAGCTTCTCATTGATCACAAACTTTATAAACTACATAGCTAACAAACTTAGGCTTTGTTCTTTTTGGTAAATACCGAGTAAACTTTATTTGCAGTATTTGGAAACTAAAATGAATATTGCATTTGATTTGTAATTATGAATATGTTATGCCAACCAAATCCAACTAATATTTGTCGATTCGCCAGCAAGATTGAAGTAGGATTTGAATATGGCGGAGGACATATTTGGAGTAGCAGTGGAATTTGGGGTTGGTGTTAACGAAGAATTGCCCTCGAGGGCATATCAGGCATTTCACAATTTTTTTAACGATGCAATCCGATTGCCCCCTATAAGATTTAGTGATTTACAATACACATAAGGTCTTCAAGTGTGATAAGAGTGTTGAATTCTTATTCAGAAAACATTGATGCTCCGTTTGGTACACGGAATTCAGACTTTGGAATTAGTATTGAAGACCAAAATTCTAATTATGTTGTTTGGTAATACAAAAATATGTATATTTGGAATTAGGTAGTGTCAAAAATAAATTGGAATGGGAGAACTCAAATTTTACCTATATCAATTCCATAGAATTTAACCTCCTAGTTCAATTCCAAAGCTGTCAATTCTGTGTATCAAACGGACCTTTATTGTGCAAATGAGTGCTAAGAGCACACAAGTGAATTCATATATCACATTTAAGGAGTTTCTAGTCAATCAAACACATTTATACTTCAACTGTCTCATTTTTTTGTTTTGATTTGGACATTTGGTTTGCTTTTTGATAAAGTAAAAATAATGAGACTAAAATGTATTTGAGAAACATAATTTTCATTACAAATTTTTTCTCTCTTGGAAAATGAAAAAAAGGATGTAATTGAGGGAAAAGTTTTTTAAATGATGGGTTCTAAAAGAGCTACAAGGACTTCTAAAGATTTGATCTTTTGCAAATTTTTAGATGCTCTATAGTGTTACAAGGACTTCTAAAGATTTGAAGGATTTGATAATGGAGGAAGTTTTTCTTGACCACTAATAATTTTACAACAATTACAATATTTATTTATACATATTTTTTCAACTTATTGATATATATACCAAGAGTCCCTTTTCATTAAGGGTTCAACCCGTTGTTATCTCCCATTAAGAAGAGTCACTATGGTGTTATTGGACCACAACATCTTTGGCATACACAAACTAATTTTGAATTGAGCATATGTTTCTTTTCTTGATGTGTATTTATAATGAAAAATAAAAAAAAATACATTGAGTAACGACAAAATTAACAGGCATAGGTGGACTCACGTTGAGTCCCACGGGGTCCCAGGACTCACATACCTCCATGTAGGATCCTATATATATTAGGTGTCCTAATACTTATAGTATACTGTATAAACTAACAAAGCCAGAGTGAAAAAAAGTCATTAAATATTGACATGCTGTTGATTTCTTCTAGGAGAGGAGATCTAGGGTTCGAATCTTAACTACTCTATTCTTATTCTTTAAATGGACTTGAATTCCATCCTCAAGCACTCTAAAAAAACATTTTTTGTGCAATATATTCTATTGTATTTGTGAGGATGTATTGTTTTGTATTAGTATGTATTACTCCATTAGACTTTCAATTTACATGAATATTAAATAATTATTAAAGTTCTTTCATTTTGACCATCAACCCACCCAAATGCACGTGCTATTTGAATTTTTTAGTTTAATTCTTTTATGAGTGGTTACAAAATTTAGTTGAGTTGGAAAATGAAATGAGAATCTCCAATCAACTAAAATCACCTCTACCCTCATACTTTAATAATACACAAGAAATACAATATTGATCTAATTCCCCATTCTTACCATAAAATCTAAAAAACATATTTTGTAGTTTTAATTTATTTTGAATGTAAAACATTAAACCTTTAAACTTGTACTCTTTGCGGTTATCTGAAAATTGTGGACTTAGAATATACTCCGTATTGATGTATGCAAAGAGTTTACAATTTTTATTTGTCTTTTGACAAGTACTTTTTTCTCCAAAAAAATACCTAAACAAAGCTATCTTCGTTTTATTTGTATTCTTCTTACAATTTTCTTTCATTTTTAATGTATGATAAAGAAGGATTATTGATATGTCTAATTTTTTTTTTCTAATATGAGGCTTTTGACGAAAAAAATCATTATGTCCTATTAGTAAATTTTATTTTTAAAAAAATTATCAGATATAGAAGTTATGACTTTGAAGAATCCATTTGAGAATCATATTTAGAATGTTCATTTAAATAGTAGATTTTTTAGTTTTTTAATAACGTGCGAATAATTACACAGTATAAATATATGCTCTCAATTTTGAAACGGGACCCCACGTTTCTTGATTCTTGGATTCACCACGTTAATTATGCAACATTAACGTGACTTGAAAAACTACTATGAAAATTTTTAAGTTAAAAGACTAAATGTGCGACTAAAAAACTTGAAGAAGTAATGATGAATTTTAGCAAAAAAGATGGTGTAAATCTCAAATTTACCATGAGATCAAACGAAGGAAAGTTTTAGTTTAAAAAGAAGTATTTTTTCTTTGACAAAAAAATGTGTGGATCTTTAGTCTCCTATGAGATCAATAGGAGAAAAATATAATTTAAGAATAAAAAAAGATTGGATCTGCCTGTGTTAACATGACTAATAATGTAACAGTAACGTGATTTGAAAAACTATTTGAAAAACTATTTGAAAAATTTTTTAAGTTAAAATAGTAATTGTGCATGATAAAAAAATTTGAAGGAGTAATGATGAATTTTAGCCAAAAAGATGATGTGAATCTCAAATTCACCATGAGATCAAACGAAGGAAAGTTGTAGTTTAAAATGAAGTATTTTTTCTTTGACAAAGAGAAAGGATCTTTATTTTACTAAGAGGTCAAAAGGACAAAAAAATAATTTAAGAATAAAAAAAATTGGCTCAATTTAGCTATTTCATCATCATATACCAATGTGTATAAAAAAGATGATGTGAATCTCAAATTCACCATGAGATCAAACGAAGGAAAGTTGTAGTTTAAAATGAAGTATTTTTTCTTTGACAAAGAGAAAGGATCTTTATTTTACTAAGAGGTCAAAAGGACAAAAAAATAATTTAAGAATAAAAAAAATTGGCTCAATATTAGCTATTTCATCATCATATACCAATGTGTATACTCAGCGGATAGGGGATCCAAGTCCCACAGTGCTATAAGTCATCATCGCCAAATGCACCAGCCGGGAATCGAACCCGGGTCTGTACCGTGGCAGGGTACTATTCTACCACTAGACCACTGGTGCTCTTTGTTTAAGGAACACACTTAACGTTATGTATTATCTACGTAAATACAGTCTTATCCAGAGTACCAATGAAGTTAACGGTCAAGGATGGTGTACGGTGTACCATAGTACCATACCGTCTCACCTNACCTTTACACTTGGCAGGCGAACAGCCACAAACGGGTTTTTGACATGAAGCGAAAAAAATGAATAATCAACTTCTTCTTCTTTTTTTTTTTTTTTTTTTTTTTTTTACTTCGAAGGGGTTCTCAATTCTCCTGACATTCGGTGCACTACGGTGCCTTATTTATAAATTGACGATTTCTATTTCCCGTAAATCCCTCACTCAGCTCCGACTCGAGCTCCCACACCCTTCAATTGCACTCCAAAGTAAAAATTAATTTGGAGGTAGAATTGAAGGGGGTGAGGTGTGTTCGTGGCGGGGAGGGGTGTAGGATTTACCATGGATTAGAAACTGTCAATTTTCGAATAGATACTATAGCGTCTCGAGTCATCCTATAACATTACGAGAAAATATCACATGAATCGTCCCACTTTTACTTTGTAGTGTCATAAACTATTTAATTTAATGGTAATCTTTTGTACTCCCATTACAAATTCTTTTTTTTTTTGAAAGGAGGAAGATCTTAGGCGTGCATTTTTATAGTACTTTTATTTATATATTTTTTTGAAAGATCATGTACGTGGCAGACAAAGAAAACAAGGTAGTAATTAGTTTAATTATTTAATTTTTATTTTCTTTGATTGATTTCAGTATTTTTAATTTCAAAACCGAGCAACTATTAATATTCAATATTCTTTTTTGAATGTTATTGACTCTATTAAAAGATAATATATGTTTATATTATTTAAAAAATTATTAATATCCAATATTATTCAGACAAAATAAAATATCCGATATTAAATAAGAAAGGGAGTAAAGTTGTACTCCATATTTATGAAAGAGCATCTAACTAAAATAATTTTTAAAAATACAAATACCTTAAAAATGTAAAAAGTGATCAATAGAACGACTTGCCATTGTAGTACATCCACTTCACTCATTTGCCATTGTCTGACTGAATTCTTTCTAATTGGTTGAAGCGTGTTACGTCAAAATGTGGCATTCGATTTTTGCATTGTCATTGCTCATGCTCTTAGAGCATGAAAGAGGGTAAAAGTGCATAACTTCCATTTTTAATTTTTTTACATTCCATCATTATGTAGTTTTCTTAAATTATTTTTCAAAAAGAAAGGACTAAATGGTTTTGAGACTGATAAAACTAGTCCTAGTTTGGTTCCGATCATACAATTAAAATTAAAGAACTATTGTAATATATTGAAATCCTACGAAACAAAGTTGTCCACAAGACAAGTCAGGTCTTAAACCAGTAGTCCCATTTATCATTTTAAGTTAGGTAGAAGATTATACGGAGTATCACTCTAGGGAGTCTAGGACCAATGATCCTTTCTGGTCTCTAATTTTAGTTGTAAGACCACAACGATATGATTGGTCTCAAAAGATCGGTTTGATCCAATCTTTAAAAAATAATTTTCATACGAATGTATCAATTCTATTAACCAAATTAAAAATCTCAAAAATAATGTTGAGAAACTGACACTTGGAAATAAGATTTTTAACTTTATTTAAAAAAAATAAAAATTAATCTTAAAGAAAAGTAGGGAGTTCAGCTTAGATCGGACCATTCTCTATGCTTATATTTATGAGTTGTGATGACTATTAATAAATAAATAAATACTCTATAAAAGAATTCAATAGTCTTAGATGTTTGGTCTTTTCCTCTTCACTCGTTCTTTTTCCTTCCATCCGAGGTTCCAACTCGAGCATAGGCACAAACAAAATAACCGACGAACTTAATACAAAGTAAACAAACGAACTAAATACAATAGCGCAAACGAAGTATGAACCCAAAGACGTGAAGCGCACTAACCAACTTAGAATATTTTTTATATCTGTAATTTCATGTGTGTGTTTTGGAGATAATCTTTACAAAAACATTCATGCACACAAAGTGTAGTAAGCCTCTAAACGATAACAAAAAACTTGATTATAGTTGCCAATCACCAATTGGCTACTAAGAAAAATAGCTTTTGAATTAGTAATGCAAAAGCTTAAATAGACTAGAGCAATGAAACAACCTACATGGAAATGGATTGCTCTTCTAGTCCTCAAGCTCAATGATCTTCACAACAGAAGAATCCCCTATCTTCTGGCATACCACAACCCGGTCATGCGGCTTTATTACCCCCATGCCCTTCCCATGCTCCAGCGCAATCTTCAGCACTGACTCGTTTGTTGCGTTAGTAGTGGACTCGGCCTGCAGGGGCAAATGCGGTCAATTTTATCTCATTGATAAGCCATAATAGTTGCACGGCTAGGGACTATTTGGGAAAGAAAAATCTCACCGGGTGTCGAGGATCAGCAAGCATGGGGAAAAGGCCTCTGACTATGAGAGATTGTCTTGCCTGCTAATTGTTTCATCAATCACATAGTTAGTGCCAAAGGTTTTCAGAACCATCAAACCTAAATGACATATTGAGTTGAAAGAAGTAAAGGTATGCTGTACCTCAAAAGCCCCAGAAAATGTCCACCTAAGTTGATTGCTCTTCATGAGAGGGATAACAACAGATAACACCGGCATTGTTGGCTTATACTTTGCTATTAATCTGCATAGCCAAGGAAAGTTCTTCATTTATATTACAGCATGTGCATTGTGCAATCAAGGATACACAAAATTTCATAGATGTTCTTTAGATGCTCAGAACAAGGTATGTAGGTCCGTTTAGAAACCTCAAAATGATAGTGAAAGAGAAAGTATGGAAGATAATAGAGATAAATCATTTTAATCGTGTTTGATTATTCTTTATGTTCTTAAATGTAACACCATACATGAGAAAATAATTATCATTGTCATTTAATTATACTTTCTCTGGCATTTCTGGATTCCATTCCATATTGGATTTATTTTCCTAAAAACTTTCTAAAGATCCATAAACTTCGAAATTAAACATCACAGACCTTGCTGTTCTCCCTGATGATGTGAAACAAATAATAACAGATGCCTTGACCTTGATGGCAGCCCGCACCTGTGGTTTAATATAATAATCAAAAGAATAGTGTAAGCCGAATAAGTTTCTTTTCCCGATAAACTAGTTAATTGAAAAGAATTGAGATTTAAAGAAAGCCCACCGCAGCGGATGCAATAGATTCCAAGTGAGACATTGGTTCTCCAACATTTTTAATAGCTCTCTTGAAATAGTGGTCTTGGTTGAAAACCTTCTCAGCCTGCATACATGGATTTATGTAACTTCCACTGATAGACATGATGTTCAATCAAACGAAAAAAATTGATACCAAAAACAAATGCAACTGAAAGGTTACCGCAGTTCATGCATTTATTTTTAATTTTTTCACATTTGTAACATCCTTGTGGCATTTTGAGTCCATTTCCAATGAAGCTAAAAGCATAGCATTGACAATGTTTTAGCTTCATTTTAAAAATAAACTAAGCTAGAATGACACATTTATGATTTATCTCTCCTTTATTCTTACTTACAATGAAACCTATGCAGTAAATGAAACGATACAAACATCTAAACAAAACTACTTATTATTGCACGCTGTAGTAGAGGAATTATGATGTTTGGATAAATAAATAAAAGTTAAATAAATGTTTAGATAATCATATGCAAATACTTAAATCCAGATAGATACAAACTAAAGGAAACTGACCTCAGAACAAATTTTGCCAACAATCGAGATAGTCTCAACAGGATATAATCCTCGCAAGGTCTCTGCACCTAGGAGAATCGCATCACAGCCTGAAATGAGACACCACAACAATTTATGAGCAAAAATATTAGACTGATAAAGTGATGACTAATATTTTTTATCAGGAAGGTGAGAACTACCATCTAGCACAGCATTGGCAACATCAGTTGCCTCAGCACGAGTGGGTCGCAAGTTATCAGTCATACTGTCCACAACACGAGTAACCACTGCTGGTTTCCCGGCCATGTTGCACTTGAAAAGTGCAACCTTCTGAAAGAAAAACACCTGAAAAGAAAAATACTGTAGTGTGAGGCCTCACACTTAATATGATAATGGAACCCAAAATAAAATATTTAAACCTCTCCTCTTATGAAGCCATGTTTTGTTCCATATTATGATATGATTGGCAGTGAGAGGAAAAATGCATAGAGATACTTTCCAAAGAAAAAATAAGACCCACATTAAGAACATATATACAAGTGCCCTATTAGTCGTCACAACCAAATTACTTGAACATAATTGCATGTAAATGCACCTTCTCAGGGGGGAGATCAACCCCTAGATTTCCTCGGGCAAAAATGATTCCGTCTGCTTCTTGTAGAATCTCGTCAAAGTGTGTCAATCCCTGTAAAGAGATGAAAGTTGAACAGTTATCAAGCTCTAACTTGAGTAAACAACCCATTTATGTTCCAAAATAGCCTGAAAACTGTCTGACCTCCACATTTTCAATCTTTGCAAAAATTTGAGCTTGACTCAGATCCCCTAACTTGGAAAGAAAATCACGAGCCTAATATGACAAGCCACAATATAATTAGCCAGGGAAGCAATCCATCAGTTTCTCTACATCTAGTTCACTCACATGTGATTAGAAACAGATGTATAATACAAAGAAATATGATTACAGGAAGCAACAAAATGATTTACATGTCGAATGTCTTCTGCATGTCGTGTATATGACAGTGAAAGAAAGTCTATCTTGTTCCTAACTCCCCAAGTGCTTATGACCTACATCAGTGAAACATCAGGAGCAAGCCGATCAGAACACTAGAAAATAAGCTATATATGGTTAATCATTTCAATAAGATGGCTAGTACAACATACTAGTGTTTTTTTTTGAAGTTCTTAGAAACCATAGTTAATAGATAACAAGCTAAAAACTCATTTAGCATTGAAGCATAATAATTTGTATAATCTTTCAATGATACTCCGTATGAAATATGAAGCATGTTTGTACATAAAACCATACAAAATTGATTGTTTCAAAAAATACCTATCATCCTACCGTACATATAACCTGCATTCTTCAAACATTTTTAGTCATCCTATCGTACACTGAATTGATTACTTCACTACATAGTAAGATTTATGATCTAAGAAGAACAGCTTACCTCCTTATCCTGTTCAGTCAGGGTAGGCTGATCAATGTGAATTTGAGAGACGTGTAAAGTGTACAAAGAACCCCACAAGGTGGCAGCATTTTTTATCAGGCAAACCACATCTTCTCCTTTAACCTCAGTTACCTGCATCAAACTAAATCTCTCAGAATCTCAATTGTGTTAGGCTCAATGACCTTGAACAAAACCTTTTTTATTTCTTTTAACAACGGGTATTTAAACAGATAGCAATAGCAAAAGGCCGTAAGCCTTAAATAAAGAATGGTACAAGAAGAAGCATCTAACTGCTGATATATAAGCTGTAATTAAAATCTCTAGATCATACCTCAAGCCACACTGAGGTAGTTTCACTTCCTGTGAACAAGTATTGACCAATAAAAATGTTGTCTCCGGTTTTCACCGACTGCAGAAACAGAACATTGGCATCTGAGTTCAAGAAATTACAATATTGACCTATGCATACAACAAAAGCAGCTCAGGACGGTGACACCAGTTGGGTCTAGAGATGGTAGATCCGTAGATGTATGTATGCCTTACCTCAAATAGACTGTTTTCGAAAGACCTTCGACTCAAGAAAAAATAAAAGTTTCTAAATATCTATACTTATGATCATGGAACAATGGATGTTTCATAGATTAAAAAGCTCATGGCTCTCATTTCTACACGCTGACCTTTGCTAAGCAGCTAAAATTTATAGGGAGTAGATTTGAAGTGGCTTCCTTTTCTACATCGGGAGTCAAAACCAGCAAGGAATCTGCTTGAAGAGAAATAGGATGGTTGCTTTTATTGATGACTTGCATTTCCGGGCCAATGGTGTCCAGCATAACCTGGAAGATAATTAAGACCGATCCATCACCAGCTCTAAACTACATTTACAGCATCAAACCGGGGATCCGAACAACAGATCAAAGAAAACCAAGCTAATAGAGAATCACTTACTCCACACATCTTCTTGGTGTTCTTAGAGGCCGTCTTCAAATTTTCTAATGTCTCCTGATGATACTCAGAATCGCCCCAGGAAAAATCAAAGCGCGCAACTGTTACACATAATCCAAAGTACACACGCAGTGCAGAAAGCAAAATTGTAACAGCTCAAATGCAAAAATGAGTCAAATAAATAGCCACAAAAACGAAGGAGTTCAGTTGTGGAATACCAGACATTCCAGATTTGAGGCATTCCGAAATGGTGTCTACAGATCGCGATTTCGTTCCCAGCGTCCCTATGATCTTCGTCATTGCCGGATAGAAGCTCTGCACAGCATTTATTAGATTCACTAAAAAATTGCGTTGGTGTACAAAACAAAAACCAGATATCGAAGATCAAGTTGAATCAAGCATGAATCGCACAATTTAACTTCATCATTTCATAAAAGCAATGCAGTGTGGCAGAATTCAAAATAAAAAGGCAAAATCAAACAGGATAGGGAGAATAAGCGATTCAACTCACCGATTTGGACGGCTCGAGAATGGAAGCCATCCGAATCGGCTCTTCCAGTAGCAGGCTCGACGAGTTCATCTCCGATCCGCTTCAGAAGTTTAGAAATGGAGTGAGGGAAGGTTGCTGTGGCGTGCGGATGAAGATACAATCGAGGTCGAAGAAGAACGTGTATCACGGGGGTATTTATTTCCAAGTTTGAATGTTCTGATCAACTCTTCAATTTCTTCTTCTTCTTCTTCTCTCTTTTCCATTTTTTTACTCCGTATTTAAATACTGGATTGCTAGGCGCGGGATGGGAAGGTTAATCCGTTACTGTAGTAGAGAGGGGAATTTTCAGAGTGAATTGCGGAGCAAGTTTCTAAGCAAACATGTCTAAAATACTATGGCCTCGTTTGACATCATTAATCAGAGATTAGCAGCCTTATTGTTTTTGAAAGGCCTATATGAAACAAGGTCTACCTTTGACCGTGTTTCAGAGTATTTGTTCAAAGAATTTTTATAATCAATTTTTTTATTTATAATTAGACAAAATATTTATCGTCAGGGTCGTCTCTGAGAAATCAGAGGGCCGTCTCCGAGAAATCAGAGACCCTGGACGTCACGGAGAAAATAGGTCATTGTGTCATAATAATATAAAGTATCAATTAAATTTTTTTAACAATAAAAAATAGTATAGTAATAAGAATAATAAAATGTCAAATTCATAGTCTTATAAATTTATAATTCATAGTCTTAACCTGTTTTTTTATAAATATATATAATATATATAGAATACATACAAAAGAAGAAAAAAAGTGGGGTCCCCTCCAAAATTGGGCCCTGTCCAGGTGGCCACCTTGCCCCTGGCTTGAGCCGGCCCTGTTTATCGTATATTAATTAGATAAAATAATCTTTTGAAATATTTTAGAAAATTAGTTTAATTAAATTATTTTTGTATTCTATCTAATATCATTTTTATTTAATTTATGATTAAAGTTTGATATTTTTAACCCAAAAAAGTTTAAAATAAACAAATATCCTGAAGCGAAGAGGATACTCCTTAATCCTTATGTTTTAGATATTTTGACTTTTAATATCCTTATGTCAAAGTAAGATTTATTTCAAATAAATTTATAATCAAGACTGATTTTTTTCATTCAATGTTTTATAAAAATTACATTTGTTTACAACTTTAAAATAATTTACAATCTCTAAAAAATTATCACTTGTACTTAGGCAAAGTTGCCAATCTATTGTCTCCACATGCAAAAAGAGGAATTTATTGCAGTAATACCTCTTGTGGTTTCATAAATATGTACCATAACTCCTCATGGTTTTAAAATTTACGTTATTGCCCTCATGATTCTGATATTGTTGTGTTAATGTCCCTCTGGACAAAAATACCCTTCAAATATTAGGCGATTATACTTGCTGTCTCATATGGTTTTGGAAATGGGCACCAACGCAAACCTTTCCTTTTTTCTTTATTGTTATCTTTTTCTATTCTTTTTTCATAAAGAGTAGAAAAGTATTTGTGTTTAAAAAATGAAAAGTATTTGTGTTTAGATCAGATAAGGCCAAATCAGACCAGATCAAATCAGAATTTATTTTGATCAGATCATAACGAATAAAATCAGGTGAAGAGAACATGGTCTAAGTCTCCATCGTAATCAACGGTATCTACCCATACCAACATGATGTTTTCTCCATCACAACTCTTACAAAAAACACTTAGAGAAAAGGTAGCAATTAAAATTTATATACTCCCTATTTAAAAAAATACTTTAAAACTTCTATAAAAGATGATGATAGGAAAATATATTTTTATTAAATGATCAATAAAAATCTGTAAAAAAAAAAAGTAAAAATAATTTGACTCTTTGAATACTAAGTAAAACATTGTTATAAGACTAAGGGAGTAATTTCTAAGATACTCCGTATTTCTTTACAATTCTTAGAAATTTTTGTATTAAATTTAAAAAGTTGACAATTAATTTTGTTTGCAAAAAGATGAGAATGTAGAGAATTTGATCGGAAAGTATCGAATAAAGATTTTCAATTCTAATTATGGGTTATGATGATTAATAGAAATTATTTTCAATTCAATTTATATAAAAACAAGCATGAAAACTTATATATTTAAAAAATTAAATTGAAAATAGTGTATAAGAAAGTTTTTTGGGGTTGGTGCATAGTTTAACCACCATCAAACCTAGGGTGTGATCCAATGGGTAAAACTGTGTTTATCACTAACAATGTTCATTTACTCGAGTGATACCATCATAATTATGATTCCCCCTAAATTGTCAAAATTATGGACCGAATCAAAGGCACACAAGGACACACCAATAGTCACTTTGGTATATTCATGTATTCCACCTCTCAAAAAAAAATGTTGTCCTTATCGTTAGGGAAACTATTCCTCCACGAGTTGCAATACCATTTATTCAAGTTAAATGAAAGTCTTTGGCCGTAAAAAAGAAACAAATCTCATAACGCGTAATTAGAATAGTAAATATGTAATTTAATTTAGAATGCTTTTTTTTATATTTTTTTAATATTGTAAGTTAATATTTAAATTGTTAAAGTTAAACGCTTTTATTATATGATATTTTAAAATATTAAAATTAAATGTTCAAATTAATTCTCAAATGATATATTCTCCCACAAAACCTATTGTGAAAAGGTTTCTTCCCTTGGTTAAAACAAAACGGGTAGCTTGACCACAAAAAAATCAGCTGCCGACCCATTGGTTTCCCCTTCTCTTTTCAGTTTTCTTCAAAGGTCGTTGATGATACGTATATCAAAAAAGATAAAGAAAGCTAAAAGGAAAAAAGTTGTAAAGAAAGTCATTGATATTGGGCCGGCCTGAGTAGGCCCAAGTCCGATATGGCAGTCGTCCATAGCACATTATTTAAGAGCCCCAAAATTTTACCCACTCTCTATAGTCTATATTAAAGATTGTCCTAAACAAAATTCTTTTAAAAAAATAAATTTGTGGCTCATATCAATTTTTTTCTACACAAACCACGACTAATCACATTCTAATTTACATTTTACAGAACTAGTAGAAAAGTTCAAAATATTTATAAAAATGCCACCTTGAATTATTATCATCCAGGTTCCGACAACTTTTGTTTGCGCATACATTTTTCATTGATGACTTGATAAAATAAAATATTCATCTCACCGCTTGTTTGGTAGAAACATTGATGTTATTTTTAAAAATGTAAGTTGTAGTTTTGTTTTTCTATACAAATATGTATGTAAAATTAGAATAAATTCTATAATTAATTTTTTATAATATACGGTTTTCAATATCTAGTCTTCTATTATAAAATACTACGGAGTACTTCCAATGGAGTTCTAGTGACACCCACGTTTGGTGACACTAGCGGTGTCACTGTCATTTTAGAGTACTTCCAGTGATTGCATAATAGCCACACATTTTGTTAGGGGCTTACGGCGGGGTAGGGGTGGGATGCAGGGACAGGGTACTGGGGTATGGTGGGGTTTTGGGGGGTGATTAGGAGGTAAGAACCATCAATTTTACAAACGGAGCACCTGAAGTGCCCCAAAATGACAATGCGGAAGTCAATGAACAACACATGAGGGTGACGGAGCCCTTCATGTATTGTCTTTTTCTCAATATGCTGATATCTTCACTATGGGGCTCGCATCCGTGTTGTTCATTGACTTCCGCACTAATCTTGGAATTCGTCCACCATCGCAACCAATGTGGCTAGGAGCCTGTTAAATGTATTATGTACTACAGTATTTATTATTTTTATAGTATTATTGCTAGTTATCTTATGTTTATATTTCCTTTTATATTATCCTACTAGTACTAAGATACAGACTCCTTGTATATATATTCTTGTAATCTCCCACAAATCAACCAAGAAAAATATTCATTCTTCAACACCAAGTTGACAAGAAAGTCAAAAAACACACTATCGGTTAAAAGGTAATTCGTAAAAAAAAGATCATGAACATAATATTTGAAAATAAAAGACTAAGTATTGAAAAAAAAATCTGTTAAAAAAACCAATTATAAATTACGGAGTATTTCATACGGAGTAAAATCATTTTCAAAAGAGATAATCCCTATAACTTTACACATGGTTGTTCCAAACATGACATTCAATAAAAATAATGGAAAATGAGTTGTTTGAACTTTGAATTGACACTATTTTTTTTATCAAAAATGCTAGGGGTACACCAAAGGTGTACCCCACCCCCTCCATCACCACACAAAAAGGCAAGAAACTAAAACAAAATTAAATAAATAAAAATAAAATAAAATTGAATGGTGGAGAAAGGGGTGGGGGACAAATGGGGTACACCAAATGGTGTACCCCTAGCATTGCTCTTTTTTTATAGATGAAGTGACACGCTATACTTATCCGTAACCATTACTCCCACCCACTCCGTACATCACTAACATCAGTTCACTAGCATCGGTGCCCCCCGTAGTTTACAAAAAGGGCGTCAAAATCTCCTCTGTTTTCAAAAGTTATTTGTAAAGTCCCTATGGTTTCTAAATAGAGCACACATGCCCCCCTTACATATTTTTAAAGTAAAAATCACATTTATGCTCTTTCTTTTCCTCGATCTTGAATTTTTCCTATTTTATTTTTCTCTATTATACAAATATATAAAATAAAATATACGCTTCTCATCCCAAATTAAAATTTTCCATAATGTATTTTTGGAAAAAAAAATTTGGAGAACGTTACAAAAGAAAATGAAAACTAAAATGTTATATATAAAGTAAAAATAATAATTGAAAAAGGCAATGAAAAGAAAGAAAAATATAAAAATAGTCTTTTTCTTTAACTCCGTATTTTATTTTATCTTTTTCTTCGTCATTTTTTAAAGTCCTTTGAAAATAATTTTACTTTTAAATAACAAATAAGTTAGAATTTTTAATTAGAGACAAAGTGAGTACATGTTATCTAATTTTTATTTATGTATTTTACTTTTATTTATAATGAAAAAGTGTATTTTATTTCATTTTTAAATTTTTCATTTTCTTTTGTAACATTTTCTAAAAAAAAATTATTTTTTTGAAAATTAAATAAATGAAAAATTTTAATTTGATAAATGGGGAGTATATTTTATTTATTTATTTATTTGTATAACAAAAAAATGCAAATAAAAGAATGAAAATTGAAGGTAGAGAAAAATAAAGGG